GTTCTGTTGAATATCGGATCAACGATGATGAGCTCCTTGCCAACGGGTAGAAGCCATAAAACATACATGTATTAGTATTTACGCGCCGTTTATCTAGAACAGAATTCGGACTAATTCAACTTCTGGTAGTTAAACCAATTCGTGGAAACCAAAACACAATGATCTACTAATACGTCAATAGGATAAGTGCGATATATAATCGTCACCGCAAGGTTTTTCCCCTCAATGGGTGCTTTATTAATGTCTATTTGGATGAATCGTTGACATTTATGATTTTTCCGGCTAAATTTACAATTTGTCTTACTAGCAAAACAGCAGTGTGAGGTATACAACAATGTCAAGTTCCATAAGGTTAAAGATGTCAACTAACGTGCTTTCTATTGTGAAAAGCGACTTCCATTTATAAATGTTCACCCCCATTCTTCGTCTTCATTATGACTTTAAATGATTCAAGAATGCTTCAGAACATCTTGAGACATGTTGAAAGCTTTTCTCAAAATCAAGTATACTTCCATAATAAGGATCACTAATAATGCGATCACCCTCTGGATCGAAATCGCCGAACAACTGAACCATAGCTTTCGATCCTTCTGGTTTAATTCTATTCAAGTTTGATAAATTACTTCTATCCATGCAGAGAAGGTAATCAAATTTGTAAAAGTCTTCTTTGGTGACCTGGTACATTTTAGATTGCTAACGTCAAGGGAACGAGGGAGAGAAATTTGAGATAATAAATTGGTGATAGGAGATAGAAAACTTACTTGTCGACCACTGTGGTTCACTGGAACTCCGTGTTTACGACATGTTGAAATTGTTCGAGAATCTAAAGTGAAATTGCGTTAATTATCTACGTTCGCATCAGACGAAGGCTTTTGTTGTATTATAACTGCTATAATTTAATTGCCTGGCCTATCTCCAATATGATAGCTCGCCGTTCCAGCGCTGTCTACTTGGAATTGGTCCTCTAGACCGTTTCGCCGTAACATATGAGCAAACACTGCCTCCGCCATAGGGCTATATTGAACAATTTGTGGTTTTGTCATTGACCCGAAATACGGACCCCCTCCGCATCAAAAATTATCATTATATCAGCAAACCAGTACTTTCCTACCTACGACAAATATTCCCTGGCGGAAGAATTAGTTTTAGTAAACCAAGGCGATAGTAGACATTATATAAGATAGGAGAACAAACCTAAGCAAACGAACAAAATGCGAGTCTTTTGGTCTGTCATCTCTATTAATGGGACCTTCGGACAAAGATGTTAATTGCTTTTGATATTGTCGCACAAATTGTTGGATAACTAATCAGTTTAACCCGCTACGTTTATCGATAAGAGTCCTTTACTTGATAGACGTTGGATAACCAAATTTTTACAAAGCTTAGAATCACAAGATACGGAAAGCCGATAAATGCCAAAACCGATAATTTTCTAATTCCCAAAACACGTATAACACAATTCGCTCGGAAAACCGATATTTTGCATACTGCAATATCTTGTAGCCGTACATTTACTTTATAAGAATCATATAAACTAAACTCTTAGTTTATCTAGAGGCTATACTCGTTCGATTTGCGAAGCTAGCAAAAACTTGCGTTTTGTTTGCAAAAAGTGACGCAGATAGTAACAATAGTTAAAATCGTTTACAATAAACTGTCAATTCTCGTCATCTATAAGGCCGCAAGCGTAACGATAACATAAACGTCAGTTGATAAATATACAATTTACGGTACACTGAAAGCTCACCATTTACTATGTAACAATTCATTCACCTAATGTGTTATCATGACTTGTTATGTCATCATAATGATAAAGTGTTAGTGCTAAAAGAAAAATCTCAATCCTCATGTTAGACTCGGAGACAAAACAAAAAATAACTTAGTATGAGAGTCTGCGCGCTACTACCCTGCGCATTTCAAAGCATAACACAAATCTCTTATTTCGCCAATATTACGTGGAAGCAGTTTCATTGATTGGCATACAATTTGACGAATGTGAGTTTGTATCTTATTTCAGGTAGCAATGTGAGTTAGAGAATAGTAATATTGGAGAGCAACAGCTTTGGCAGAGCTTTAGAATCAAATTCATACTTGACTTCTTTGAATCTTGGGATAATTATATTGGAGAAACAGTTGGTAAAAGCTTTAGAATCAAATTCATCCTAGACTTCTTTAAATCTTATTGGTAATCTAAATAGATACAAGAGCAATAGCTTTTTGACAAAAGCTCCCATATCTCCAATCCGATTCTTATCAAGAGTCAAAGAAGTTGAGGACAAATTTAATTTTAAGAAATTTTAATCGCTCATTATTTTTTGAAAATGTTAGCATTGATCAGATGTTTTTGGGCGCGTGGGCTTTTTGATAGTCCGTTTACTTGACTTTTGAGTTGTTTACGTTCATTGTTTCCGACATTCATTCTTAAACCTTTTTCAGCTGCAAAACTACTTTTGCAAGTTGCTTGTTCTAAGTGTTCAACAATTAAACTTTTTCTTAATTCGAGTGACTGGATATATAATTAAACGCATAATTTTTTTGCTGCTAGACATAATTACCAAGTCAACGCGTCTCCTCGCTTCCCTATTGCACAAACTGCGCGTTATGTGACCGACACTATGAAATCCTGACATTAAATATTTTTTAAGCACTCATTAGGGGCATTAATCCAAAGACGTGAGTCAGAATTGCTGCCGAGAGTATTTATTAGAAAGAAAAGCACGCAAAATAAAAGGCTGAGATTTAATGAAGGGTGAAAGACTCAAGATTATGAGACTAGACCAAATCAATAACCCCACCTTTTACGAACTGTCATATTGATATTAATGATGATGTCATATCATTGCAATGTGGAACTAACTGAGTGACACATTCTAATGAAAAAACTCCTTATTATGCCATATATGTCCTTATAAGTAACCCATTGGATAAACAAAACCACTTGGCGCCGTTACTGAATAAGTAAACATATTTTGACAGTAACAAACAAAACAGTTATTCTCCACCACCCTGAAACTGACTAGTTTGCAGTTTATATCAAACACACGCACACACACCAAAATAACCCAAGCAACACGAGATCTTAGCTTTCCAACTACGACGCCTTTAGTTAGCAAACAAAATTATGACCGCTTCCTCTTCACTACGGTCTCGACTACGTCCCCGACAGCATCTACGGCAACGACTATCACTACAAATACAACAGAACTCCTCCTCTATATCTACCTCCACTATCTCTACTCCTTCCTCGACTTCTAGCTTTTCTTCCATATCACAATCTCAGATCCGCACTCGTTCCAAACACCGTTCTACTCGTTCGACATCTCTTCTTCCTCTTCTCTCTTTCTCTGCCTGTCTTAGCAATTTACCTCCAGAAATAATATCGCGCGTTGCAGATTATTTACTTCTGGCTGACTTTTCCAGACTAGGAAGAACATGCAAATTAATGCGTGGGCATTTTCAGCGAGATCTTCTTGTATATCTAAAGAACGTATACGGCTTATCAGTACGATCAGGATCCCTGGTACTCTTTGCTTATGCAGCACATCTGCAATACAGAGCCCCAAAATTATTGGACCGAATTCTCGATGAATTTTTCTATGACTTTACGGACTCTCTACTTGATTCCTCGTACGCTGTTATTATACCCTCGGAGTCATTGTTAACATGTCGGTTTCCACAACAGACAATTTACAAACAAAGAGAATCGCGCTGGGCCACATATTGGAGTGTGCTGTACTCGCTTGACAAACAGCCTAATTTAGATCCACCTTGTTTCAGAGATGATAGAAAGGAAGATGACTATATGGATGAGGATAATGAGGATGGAGTGACTTTGAGAAGGAATGGGAGAGACGGTAGGGACACCTATGCATGCAGAGCAGACTTGACATTTGGGCTTACTAGTGCGGCAATGGCAAGTATTGGTGTGGATGTTAGTGATACTCCAACCGATGGACTGTATTCTACACAGCAACAGGGACTTACTCTCTGTAAACATTCATCAGGACCGAATGCAACAACGTTAAATCCAAAATTACAATTCTTAGAAAAATACACAACTCGTATGAATGCAAAGTTTGCCGCAGCTTGTGGTGTATTGCATATGAGTGATAAAAACGAGAATAGTAGTCATAATGATAGTAGTGATGATAATGACAATCACGATAAAGTCATACAAGTGGGAGGAAAGACAGCAGATTGGTTTTTAGCTGACGTGAGACAGAAAAAGACGTATCGCATGTTGATCAGTCAAAATATTCGATACGGTGATGTTGCATTGTTGAGATTTTATTTGGAAAAATATGGTGCGCCTACAAACAGAATCATAAAATTCACAGCTGAGGTGAGCATTGATTGAATAAAGTTTAGTGTGGGGATGGGGGGCATGGGTGGCATGTGGTATGTGGTATTGGTATGTGGTATGTGGTATGTGGAATGTGCATGCGGTATGTGGAATGTGGTATGTGGAATGTGGTATGTGGAATGAGGATTATGGGATGGTGATTGTGAAATGGGGATTGTGGGAATGGGGAGCAGAGTGGGGTAAGAGAGCAGTAAATCAATGGAACAAAATTTTCAAATTGGGAATCGGTGATTCTTTGTTATGCACGTCGATTTTCCTAGGGTTTTTCCAATACTTATGCATTTATGCTCTTTTTTTCTTTCCTCAGGAACAGATATGTCTATTTCAAGATAGAGAACTAATGGGACTGTTAAAAGAATATGGTATACGAGTTCTCCTGTCCGACTAGCTTATCTCGTCAAGCAAACGGTTCGCTTTCTGCTAATGAGATCATCGAGAGAGCAATTATGTAATTAATGTACAATTATGTGATTATGTAATATTGGAGGGGTTGAATATTATATTCGATACGTTTGGATACCATTTGTGGTGTTATATAATGCTGACGGACAATTGTATTGTATTGTAATGTATTTGATGTATTCTCAAAATGGATTTCGGATAGAGACTAGTGGATTCGTCATTAGAGTGTAATTTTGACTTTTTTAGATATTTGATGATTGAAAAAAGCTGAGATGAACAATTATCATATCAAGTATAAAAAGCAAACCAAAACTATCAGACGATCAATAAACAGCACGTTATTGATCATAGAATGCAAGACATTGCCCATTCGCTAGGTTCAATGTAAAGCTTAGTATCATTTTATGCAGACATACCGAATAGGTAGATTGTTCAAATCGTTAAGCTTTCTTGTAACATGTGATTTCCACTTGCTTTAAACTTGATATTGCATACAATACGTCTGATTGGTGCGTGATCGTATTGCTCTGTCAAACGACTGTGCAGAATAAACTTACAAATGGATTCTTAATGCGCTAGAAAACATTCTATGGATGGTAGTCAATATATACAAATACTAAAATTTATTTCTCTATTTCTCGCGAGTCGAGACTAATACGCCAACAACTCCACAGTTGCTGATAAACTAGTCACATCAGTCTACTGGAATACACAGCGCCCATATTCTCATTAAGTTAGATTAACTGCAAGTGCTCGGTAAATTAGACGCCACACAAATTTATAATAACAAACTACTAATTAACTTTTTAACTAAGATTAATTTAGTTTAATTAAATTTAAGTTTAATTAATAAGAATAACACCCGATTAGCGATGAAATCATTTGGTTCTAATTAAGTAGTACTGTATGTCGAGTCATTGGCCATACCGAACTTTCGTTGTTTTTCCTGTCATACGATATTATCATTATCATCTAATCATCAACCTTTTGAATTCTGCTTGGCCTTCGACAATGGTTTGAGTTCCCCAATTGAACATGATTTTGAATTTTATTAACAAATGCGCCTGACTTTATCTTCAAACCTTTGATAAGCGACATAGTTTGTCATTACACATGACTCTGTCTGGGTTTACTCGCAAAAGTGTTTGGTTGTACGGTACGTATATTGACTGAAAACTACATAAACTATTGTTCGCTGGCGCGAGCATTTTTATAATACCCTGCGAACTTGATTTTTCCAGTCATATTTACAGGTCGACTACTTGGATGAATGCGAGCCGCAAAAGGGAAGTGTGGAAGTAATTAGACAGAAAAGACTAACTAATACTAAAAGAGAAAAATTTAATTAAAACCAATCAAATTTATTTTTAGTCCCTTTTAACCATTCATTTTCTTGGAAAATCTTGTTATTGAAACAAACATCGCGTTAGTTTTTATATAATTAATACTGCATTATACATGTAAGATGCTGATGTTGGAACATTCGGTGCAAAGTTTCCGCGAGTTGGCTTGAAACACAGTATCTCTTACAGCCATTGGCAGATTCAATTGTTCCCTTCCTGCTGGCGTAATTGTACGAGCAAACCAAGAGTCGGCTGTCCAGAGAAAGCTTGCTTTTCTATGTGGTTTTAATCAGCACGTGAATACAATGCTAATGCTATGTCACAATAACAAAATCATTTGTTTCAACCCCTGCAATTCTGTGTTCACAACAAACATTTGGTCATACGGAGAATAAAAGAAGAACTATCGTCACTATGCTGTTTTTTAGGTAAAACGTTAATTGAGCTTGAACGTATCATTCTCCTAGTCTGACATAGTTGCATTATGTGGACAAGTCGAGAATCATTCTCGTAACAACAATGATAAGACAGAACTGGCAATTGATATTGTTTGAAATATATTGTCTTGTGGAAGCATCTTTGGTTTTCCTGTGGGAGGTTTCTTCATTCTGCAAATTGGTGTTACCTGTCTATTTTGGTGATAATGTTACGGTTCGTTCTGAGATTTGACCCTTCTGAGAACGGGGTCAAAGATTGTCACATATCTTTTTCAACATTATCACATAAATTATGTGGTCTATTGGTGCAAGAGATTATTATAATGTAAATCCCAAAATAGGTCAAATCATGACTTCTAGCGGATTTACGCTTAGACATACATGGAAGGCATTCTCACTATGGTATCTATCACGGGAAACCCAATCAACACTTTGCTAATTAAGTACTCTTGTCTATTTAAATCTTATACACGCTATTTATACATTTCTATTCATATTAATATACGCCGCACTGCGTTATTAATAATCGCTTAAGGATTCTTATGTCAGTTGCCCGTCTTCTTATCCGATGCAGTGTAACTCATATACGCTGCAAGCACAATTTTTCACTCGTCAGATTATCAATCAAGTGTACTGTAGCACAGGAGCGCATTCTAATAGACAGACTCGCATATACCTGCATATCAGTCCTAATGAAGGTTCTTAAAAGAAAGGAGGGGAAATTTCCAATAAGAACGTGAGATATATAAAATCGTTCGACTAGCGAGGCCCAATTTCGATCGTGACTGGAATCTGGGCATCCTAGTCACGATATTGAAGCGAATTCATTCGAGGATATTATGTTTGATCTCTCGCTTGCTAGAATATCCGAAAATATCCAAGAATAGCAACAAACAAAAAAAAGAAGAAAGAAAGCAAGCAAACTAACCCTATTTAAAAATACTTTATTATTGCATGCAAAATAAAGTAATCGTTCTCTCATCAACGCCCCCAATCACTCAAGTACTTCAAACATGGGCTGTCGCAGCAGTAAAAACATAGACGATGAACACATAAAACCGCGTAAATCCAAGGTCAAACAATCCAAATTTCGTTCCCCTCTCTTCTTCCACAAATCCTCGAATTCTTCACAATCTTCATCAGCTTCTCTTTCGAAATACTGTCCAACCTGCGATCAACCTTACACTCAACGCAGTCCACGCAACTGGTGTCAACCGTGTGAAGCGAGGAGATTTCAAACGGACTTTCCCAACTGGACCACTGGAAATTTATCTCTCGATGCCGTCATACAGTATACTCAGTTACATTCAACTGGACCGAATAAATTTTTAGAATGGATACCATACGATAGGTTTGAAAATATAAAAGAGATCGGACGAGGCGGTTTCGGAGTTGTGTATAGTGCCTTATGGGACTTGGGTCCGAAGCTATATTGGCATCCAAAAAAGCGTACCTGGATAAGAGAAGGCGAAGTTAGGGTTAAGTTAAAGAAGCTGGTTGGAAGTGCCGATGCCAAACTAGAATACTGGGTTCAGGTAAGTTATTTGTGTGTTTGACAATGCGGTGGGAGGTGAAATGTGTGAACGGAAAGAAAAATACGTGTCCAATAATTGAATGAACGTAACTGGCTATATGCTCTTAGAGGGTTGGAGCCTAATATGCATCATTCTAACACCTATTTCTCCTCCTCTTGTTTCTCTCTTAGATGGAACGGCACAGATGTCACCAAAGTCAATATGTCCCTCATTGGTATGGCTACACTCGTGACCCCATAAGCAAAGATTATATCATTGTCACTGTCCTCCCCGATTACACCCTCCATCAATATATAGAAGAACATTTTAATCAATTGACGTGGGAACGTAGAGCAGGAATAGTATATAACATTGCACATGCGTTGATGGACATACATAACTTGAAACTGATACACGGGAATTTGCACAGTGGGAACGTGTTGAGAGATTGTAATGGAAGTCAGGGTTTTACCTATATTACAGATGTTGGAAATTATTCTCCTCCTACGAAAGAAAATGAATGGGCTATCACATTTGCGGACCTACCTTTTCTATCGTCACCAGAACCTCTCTACGGTGTGCTGCCTTATACAGCGCCAGAACTCTTGCACGGTGCTCCGCGCACAGAACATTCGGATGTGTATTCCTTTGGCATGATAATGTACGAGATAGCAGCGGGCGTTCCTCCTTTTTCATTCCGTGCTCACAATCATGCACTCGCTGCCGATGTGTGCCGCGGTTTGCGCCCAGAAATACCGGTGAACACGCCGAAATGTTACGTAAAGTTGATGATACAATGCTTGGACGCTGATCCGTCCCGGAGACCCAATATTAGGGAAATAGAAAAGACATTGATGTCCTGGGGATGGCATATGGGATTGAATCAGAACCAGGCCGTTGAGAGGCAGTTTGTTGTTGCCGAGAAGATGCGGGTTAAGGCTCTAGAGGAGGAGAAATCGAGATTGAGATATATTGGGGGGGAATTGAATAAACGGCGCATATGTCCAGAAGCAGTGTATACTAGCAGAAAGTTGGAGTTTAAGAATTTACCAGAGATTGTTAGGGTTGAGTATGATTATGATGAGGAAGAGGAATATGTGGATGATGGCGAAGATTATGCGAAGGAATTTGTGGATGATGGCGAAGATTATGCGGACGAAAAATTTAGTATGGAGGAAATGGATTCTACAAGGAATGAAGCAGAAGAACTACGGAAATTGGTGACCAAGAGTGGTATCGGTGGAAATAAGGAGGTAGACAGTTATATTGATAGAGGTAAGGTTTATGCAAAATGATAC